CCCCCCCCCGGGCCGGAGGTAATGCGATTAAAGGCCTGAGCACCACATTACATCAATATCCTGTTTCGGCTGCCGCCCCCCCCCAGCCGATAACAGACCCCTTTATCTTGGAGGGGGCATCCTTAACCCATCTTAGTAGGAAGTGATGGCTTTTTAAAAATGGGTTCTTTTACTGATAGTGTTTAATGTGCACTGCGTGTAACTCATACGGCGTAATGATTTGAAAAGTGGGAAGGTGAAAGGGATACGGATGGGGCAAGATGGCTGTAGGCAGTGTCTCAGAGTAGGCCATTTACGGGGGGGGGGCGGGGTTGTGATCCACAGTGAAGAGCAGCTCTGGGATCGGCCAGCCAGGCCTGAGTAACATGTATCACATGGTCTGGTACCTCCTAACTGCCACATATATGTACCTGTGACACGCAATAGGCCTGCCTACCCAGAATCCCACTGGGCATGCCGGCCATAGGCCACCAGGGATCATTATTTACCTCGCTTAGATGAGTTGGTCTTTTAGCGGGAGGGACAGAAGCGGATCCGTTATGGCGGATGAAATGGCCTTCCCGGCGGCCTTATTAACTCACTGTCATTTGATTCATTCTGTTTAGAACCAGACCGTATTTTTCCATATCGTTAAATATTCCAGTATTTAATATCTACCCTGTAAAACCAGAGCAAAAAAAAAATCCAAATGAAGGAAAATGAAAATAATATTAACATTTTTCCAGTGTGAAGTCGGGCATGCCTGCTCTTCCTCTCCAACCTGTGGGGGGCAGTGGTGAGTCTTTTCTTAGCCAGATGTCGCCACAGTCTAAGGAAGTGTGCAATTTGCATAAAAAGATTTTATTGGTTTTCAGGGTAAAATATGTGCATATTTGCACTGATATCAGGCTGTTAGTCTGTTTATCATGCATATTTCATTGCCTATATACTGCAGCGGTGTTTACCACCACTTAAACCATGCATCTGCATGGGGCCCCTATGGAGTGGGGGCCCTCTGCTGGCCACAAACGATCATTATACTGGGGGGGGGAGAGAAACCTCAAAGTGACTTTAAGAGTTAGGGTCCCAGAAAGAACAAACCCGCTTCCATCCACATTACACTCTAGCACAGTTTAATACAGATGCAAAACAATAAATCTGACCCTTTGTAATTTGCCATACAGTTTTTGGTTGAAAATAATTTTGTCACGTAACGGCTTCAGAAGATCCTCAAAGTTGATTCTCTGCTATCATAGTGATGTTAAACTCACTATAATCCAGAGATCCAGTGAAAATGGTGAGCCCATTTTGATCACGTGCAGATTAAGGCGCTCCAGAAAAAGGGACCAGTACGTCAGATTCCATTGGCACAAGCGTGTGCACAGATTTCATAAGCAGAGAAATGTGACCTGCAGCAGGGCGACAGAGAATGTACTAAAGGACTGTAACTGACTGGTAGTAAGACCATTACTGAGGAACCACAGGCACAGGTCACATGACCAGTCACATGACAGTGATTGAGCACAAGTCACATGACCAAGTGGGCTTGACGTCCATGATGGAAAGTTCTGCATTGAAAGCATAACACTGTTGCAGTCAGACCAGTCCGTTCACTGCCGAAATACTCAACCCCACAGGGAGAGAGAAGGCCCAGGGGGCCTCGACGAAGCCCCAGGCGGAGGGGACGTCCGAGGGGGTGCTGGAGGGGGCCGGTCGGTGCCTGCCCTGCCGCGAGGGCTGCACGCACTGCAAGGACGACACGCCGTGCCTGGTGCAGGAGGACAGCGCTCTGCGCCTGGCCGCCGTCTCCTTCCAGGGGCTCTGCATGGGCGTCGCCATCATCAGCATGCTACTAGTGTACCACTTCCGCCGCAGCAAGGTGAGAATTCAGGTGCTTCTCAATACCAAGAACGCCAAGATCGCACTTGTGGTCTTGGCAAGAGCGGCCTTACCTCTCGCCTCCCTAGAATCATGGGGTTGGTCTCGTTTGGTGAGGATGCAACCGACGTATCCTTGATATTTGGGGCGGGGCAAGAACAACACCTGGGGGTCTTTTACCCTCCTCCGTACTTAAGTTCTTGGGTAGTGGAACTGGTCTTCGGCAATGGAAGATGAGGTAAAAAGGGTATATGAGAACGCAAGTACGATCAATTGAGCATATTAAGAAACACCCTCCCTGTCCGGACAGGAAATCCCCGGGAGGTCCAGCTGGATGGCCTGGGTGAAATTTGCAGCTGCGAGAGTGTGGTCAGGTCGAATCAAAGTCAAAGGCTTTTAGTCGTCATGTGCATGATGAACGGATTCAGCCATGCGCTGAAATGCGTACCGCAGGGCTCGCGTAATCATTACCCACGTATAAAAACACGAAAGATTGAAATGTATGAAAACTGCTCCCAGCACTGACGAATACACACTGCATATTCTCCAGTTGCAAAGTGAAGCAGGTAAATGGCAGGAAAACATACAGATTTACCATAAACGGCAGGTATAACATGTAGTACAAACACATACATTTTTTTTCCCGGATTATTCTTATTTTATAGTTGTTATTTTTTATTTATTTATTCTCTTTATTAAAGACTTAGAAAACATACAACAGGGTGACATCAAATCATTGGAAAGGAAATATAGGACATAATAGAATAATAATAATAATAATAATAATAATAATAATAATAATAATAATAATAATAATAATAAAGAATACAATAACAGAACCATTAGGCGATATCATGTTCTTGGATGTATGTGTGCTTATTTTATTATACTGGAAAAAAATAAAAGGGGAATTTATTATGACCCCGACGTGACTCAAACCCACTGCTTTCTGATCTGGAGTCAGATATGCCACCATTTGGACGACGAGGTCTGCCAGTTGTACGCACTCTTATATTGGAAAGGGCAGAATAACAAACAGGCCCTCACTGATACGTAATTAAACCCGGGATTAAACCCAGAAGGGCACGCCGATACGCGTCAGAAGGTTAGGCCATACGGGGTTGTCCTTCTCCCCCTCCAGAGTCGCCCATCCGGGGCCCCTTAATCCCTGCCTTTCTGGTAGCGGGTAGCAGCAGCCTGTGTCCTTGTTGGTTTAAGCCTCCTGCGTTTGCAGCGAGGTGGAAAGGCAGAAGACGAGCCAAGCACAGAGCCCGAGAGCTTAAGTGCCCAGAACTCGCTCATGGGGATTTTGACAGGCAGCGAGTCTCTCTCGGCGCGTTCCCCGTGTTCCGGCACATTCTTTTCTTGTCGGCCTGTCTTGCTGGGTCGGTCGCCGTTGTTTCCCCGGCGTGTGCAGGAGAGGCTGCTGGAGGCGGCCTGTCTCTGAGGCGGCCTTGGACGGGGATGCCATTACATGCGGAGGGATTAGGAGGAGCCAGACCTTACTGGGTGAATGCATGGGTGTAACAAACACATTACATCATCGGGAATAAACGAAGACGGTCTGTGGAAGCCTCTCACCAATCCTCCATACCTCTCCCCTGCATTTCCTCTGCAGATTATGAAGAACATCTCTCGAAATTACTTCAGAACAATAATATTATTACGCAATTTTTCCCTTAGATTTATTTCTTCGTCAAAAGTTGACGATTTACACTGAAAAGGTGTGTCTATGTCTGTATATGAGGAACATTGAATAAAAGGTCAACTTTCACTTAAACACCAATCTGCCCGTATTTTTGGAGCTGAATATCAATATTTGGTGTTTAATAGCCATGTCTACAGAGCATAATAGTAACATTTTACTGCTGTAAGCTAAAGCATCCATCTTCTGAGGTGTGAGACCTTTTAACACACCTCAGGTAAATAGATGTTGGAGGGCAGACTCCGTGTGATGTGTTACTCCTGTGCTGGCGGTGAGTCGCATCAAACGGCTGGGAACTTCTTCCACAAGCTACCCAGTACTTGATGTGTGGTTTATCCCATGAAGTGTGGACAGATTCAAAGCTGCCTTTGCTCGATCAAACGGTAACCCCTCCCCAAACCTCTTCCCTCAGAGAATCAAAGCTTCAGGTCTGGTTCTTCTGGAAGCCATCCTTTCTGGATCTCTGGTCCTCTACTTCCCGGTGAGTTGCGGGTCTGGCCTCTCTGTGGGTGTGTTGTGGTGGGAGGGTGCACACAGAATGGCGGCATGACTTGCGTGACTCTGCATGTGCATTAAGTCATTTGACACATTGTTGATGCACTAGCAGTGATGAATTACAATGTTTCTAAACACCACACTGATCTTATTGCCGATGAATACTCTTCTCTTTACAGGCTCACAGATGATTATTTTTTTAACCGTACATGCTTTTGATTGATGAACTCAGATTCTGTACTGGTCTCCTCACCCAATGAAGTCTCTACTTTTCACAGCCTCGTGTCACATCGCTATCCAATGAAAAACGCGTATCTCCAAAAATCCATTATTTCAGGAACATGAAATAAAGCATTTTCTCAGAAACTACTTTACAGACTAAAACTGATACAACATAGAGACATCCTTAGCACCACAAATGGTTTTATATTCACAATTAATAATGATATTGGCTAGCTATCAAGATACCAATGTTAAGTTTTTAAAATTAGCCATATAAAGTAATCCATTCAAACGACCATCATGAATACATGTTAAGTAGTACAAACGTGGTTAAATAGATGACTTCATAAAACTTCTTTCAAATAGATGTCAAACACTATCAGTAGGCAGAAAAGAATGGGCGTATTCCATCCATATTAAAAAGTCAGAGTGGTCAAAAAGTGGACAAACCTGGTTTTCATCGGACAGTGACAATATGTTTTTTTTTTTTTTACCTTAAATGCTTTTGATTGGTGAATTCAGAATCTACACTGGTCTCCTCTTCCAATGAAATCTGTTCTATTCACAGCCTCGCATATTTTAGCTTACATGAATTCAGAAGCTGCACTGGATCGAATTAAATGCTGTAAGCCTGGGAAAATGGAATCCGTCCCATACTACCGCATTCAAATTCCTGATACGCTTCACGCAACATCAACTGCTAGGCAGAGGCAGACAGCCGTAATGATGACAAGGCGGGTTCTGCTTGAGTCTCCTCGGACAGGCTGTCAGTCTTCAGTCAGAAAGGAAACCTACTATTCCATTGAACTGAACAAAAATTATGACCTTGGTCGAATGTCGCTTTGACTTGCAGCCCTGTGCTGGGTGGTTTTATGCGGTCAGCTGAGATTTGCAGTCATTGCATTCCTGTGTGGGAGGTCAACCATGATTCACACGTCTCTTAGATCCCGACCTCGGTGCAGCCTCATGCTTCGCCAATAAACTCCTAAAAAATGTACGAGTCTCCAGCCCTGGAGAGTGAACGTTTCTGCTCATTCAACACCTGAATGGCTGATCTTCACTCCGAAGGCAGTCGAGATAAAACCTCTGTGGAATCAGAAACACAGGAATTCACTAGTCTGATCCTGAAGCACCTTAAAATAGGTTTGCTGGTCTAAGGCCTTCCAACCTTTGATCACAGGTTTACATTAAGGTTAGGGTTGATAATTGCAACGTTCCAGTGAAACATCCAGGCTCCCTACCCTTCTGTTGTAAGTGACGTTTGTGGGCCACACTGCAGCATATTTGCATGTTACGCATCAAATAACTTCTATATAATTCCCGCAGACTAGCAGAACACAGTTTCCAGTTGAGCTGTGTTCACAGATTGATGGCTTCTCTCACTTTCCTTCCAAATGCCACCGCGGGAGATTTTTGCAGATTCCTACGTAGGATCCCGCCACGGCCTTTAGCTATAAATTAGTCATCAGAGTTCTGCTGGAGTAGATATTCATCCTCAAACCCTCGAAATGCGAGTATATAGTGATCGGAGGCAGAATACCCCTCAATTATGTAAGGCCAGGCAAACAGTCACGGCGTAGGAGGATGATAAGCACTGGGTTTTTATATTACGATTTTTTTAAAACATTTGGTGCCGTTTACGTGAGGTTGTGGCCACACATCGATTTTTTTGCAATCCCTCGTCGCGCAATTAATTTTCTCTGCCGCCGCAGGTTCTCTCGTCTCGCGCGTACTCTTTGTTTCATCGCCGCACCGCTAAGCTCACCGAGAGAGCGCAGGGAAAAAAAAACAAAAACGTTAGGCCTGTTTTTATGAGCCGTTAGCCAGCAGAGGATATGCTAATTAGCGTTCGACACTCGCCCGACGCCGTGCCAGCCGTGTGTCATGAGCGTTCTGCTCTACTGAGCTCTACAGGCCCGGAACATACTAATCGTGTACCGGACACCTCGTCGTGATGATTTCATCCCATGGCTGCCGGCCTGGCCGGCGAGATGCTGCCGTCTCCCGGGGTTTGGTCTGGGGTTCTGGAAGAGGCGCCGGGAAAGGCCCGGAAGCAGACGGACTCATTAACGGCGACTCGGTGCTGTGACAGAGCGGTACAACACACGGCCTAGTGGCTGGGGAAGGACGTGGCAGGAGGCCTGCTCTCACGATGGGGCCCGCGGGGGTGACGGATGTGATGGGTCATTCTCAGATTCACCACAACGCAAAAGGAGAAAGTCAATTTCTTCGGCACACGGGTGCCTATTCTTGGGTCTATTTTTGGTGAAAACGATCATTTTTATGTGATGTTGTTTGAGCGGCCGCGGACACCAAGGTGGGAAGACGATGTGTAAAAAAACGACAAATGACTGAAGATGGTTAAAGGGCGAGGAGGAGGAGAGAGGAAGGGGTCTGGCGGAGGAGATGGGCGGGAACTCGGAGAGCGCCGGTGTGAGCGCAAGAAGCTGTCACATGATCTCAGGACCGGTGACTCCACCCACAAGGATCACATGACATGCTATTACCCACAAGGATCACATGACATGCTATTACCCAACGCCATGTCCGCATTTTGAAATGCAGGATGTGTCTGGAGGCACAATGATTCAAAGAGAGAGAAAAAATACAATAAAAAATATGCAAATATAGAAATATAGACATCCTCAGTTTAATTATGGTTTATATGTTCTCAGAAAAAAAAATGCAAGCAAAAAAAATTCTCTCAGCAAAATGACCTGTATAAAACGTGATTGGAACATACACTGATCCGGGTGTGAGCAGGTGTGATTAACACTGAATGGGCAGCGTTTGCATCGCCCGCTCGTCCTTTAGGGTCGTGAGTCCAGGGAACCATGACCCCTGGTACCAGTTTCATTTTTGCTTTTCTCATAGTTTCCTTGTAGTTGTGTGGTTGTAGTTGGGCTGTACTGTGGTGGGATGACTCCACCCCCGCCCCCCCCCAGCCAGGAAGCTCATTGTGTAACAGCTAGACACAGATGTGTGACCTGGGCACTGTTCAAGGACCTGCCCCTTTTCCAGGGGTTCTCACATTTTTTTGGTAAGAGGTCTGCATCAGATTTTTGTTCAAAGTCAGAAGTCTGGATCAATTTTCAATAACAAAACAGCATTTCATGAACTGTTATGAGTTAACAATAAGTTTTGACACAGACGTCACCTTGGATAAATGCTGACATGAAGTAAATAGTGCAGCATTGTGACATCACACACCCATGTGGCTTCCTGCCCTGGCTCTGGGTGTGTGTGTGTGTGTGTGTGTGTGGAGTTTGCATGCTCTCACTGTAATTGTGGGGATCAAGTGGATCGTTTCACTTTGGGTTCCTCGTGATGGCCTGGCCTCCCATCCCAGTCCCGAACCTAGGGATCCGTTTCTAGGAAAGCGGATTGGTAAATAAATTTCCCCGTGGGCCTCACTCCAGTGAACATCACCAGTTGTTCATGTGCTCCAAATGATTTATTAGGACTCGCAGAAAACTTTGCTGCTCTGAAGTTTTCTTTAATGGTCTCCAGTCAGAGTGGGAAAAATGGTCGTTACGAGTGTGTCTTTCCCCAGGATTAATTAAAGGCACATTTAACTTCCGTAACACCCCTCCATCTAAGTGACAGCCTGCATTCTCTCTTGGATCCGGGCCCAGCTGCTTATCGATCGAGGGAAGGATGGGTCGCAGCGGCCGGCATCTGGAAGTCGCTCCTCCAGGAATAACATCCCCTTCCTCCTTCGTTCCCAGAACTTTTCGCCAAGCTCAGCCATCCGAACGACTCGACACCCCCTGGATCTGTTCCATCTGTTTATCTGTGTGTCCTCAAGACAAACTTTAGCAGCATGTTGTTGTCGCTAGAGGTGTTACCTGGGATCGAACACCGAACACTTTGCAGATAGCTTATGCTGGATTCCGCTGCAGAAGATCATTACTGGAAGATGCCGGCACTTCCGTGGGCATAACACAAAAGTCGACTTTTTGATCCCGAATTTTTCCAGGAAGCAAGTCACAATTCACAGTTTTTATTCCCCTATTATTTACTCAATCGGTAGCTGACATCTTAAAGAATGACAGGCAGGGTCAGGGACGATTTTCTATTTTTTTTAAATATATTTTGATTGGATTACGGAGCAGATCCTGATTCTAAGTATGCAAAGGTTCTTACTTTAACAGTCGTACTTTAACGTAATGTTATTCTTTTATTTTTAGGTGATGATATTGTACTTCCAGCCGAGCATTTTCCTCTGCGTTCTCCTGAGATGGGCTCGACTTCTGGGATTTGCTACCGTTTACGGAACCGTGATTCTCAAATTGTACCGGTATGTCTCCATGCATCTGTCGGCAGGTCGGAGGGGAGTCGGCTAGCGGGAATTTTCATCATAAACATCGTACATTGGAGGCAGCGATAAGCCCCAGGAGACCCAATTAAGCGTGAGCTCAGAGAATGATTACAAAAGCTTCTGCCTTAATTATTGAATAATAATTCTCGAAGCGGAATAAAACCTTTTTATCAAGCCCAGAATGGTGGATCCTATTACACATCGGGTTGTTTATGTGATATATAGAAAAGGGTCATGCGTACTGAACATTTATAACAATAGCTGACTATCTTCCTTTGGAAATGAGTGAGAGCATCTTAAAAAAATCATGAGGTGCAATATTACTAAGGAGAATAAACGTGAACTGGAATGCGTAACTGAGCGCGATGGCTGTTCTAACCTAAATATTCTGGGCACAGCTGAGATTTATATTTAAAGAACTTGTCTTGTGACCTGAATGTTCTGGCCATGGCTCTAGCCTAACGTTCTTCCGTTCGGGGTGCCGCAGGGTTCTGAAGGTGTTCCTGTCTCGGACCGCCCAGAGGATCCCCTACATGACCAGCTGGAGGGTCCTTCGCTTGCTGGGGATCATCCTGCTCGTCGTGTGCTGGTTCCTGGTGGCCTGGACCCTGGCAGCCTTCCAGAACATGGACCGGGGCCGGTCCCTGATCGACATGGGCCTGACGCCTGATGGCCAGCAGTTCAGCCTGTGCCTGCTGGACCGCTGGGACTACATGATGGCAGTTGGTGGGTCGTGGCTGTCTCCCCGCGGTAGCGATAGAACGTTCTGGGAAAGTCTCGTCGATCTTTTTGGACGTCGGAGTCTCCATTGAACTTCCGGTGTTCACAGGAACACGCTGTCCACAGAGCCCGACTGTCAAAAAGAAAAATGCTTGATTTGCAGTGGTGTAACCCAACATGCTGACTGTACCAGAGGCAGTTACAAAAGCGTCCAGCGACTCGAAAGACGCAGCACAAGTGAGCAGGGGGATTATCATGAGCCGGCAGACAGTGTAGTGTCTAAACAGAGCAGGCAGCTCCGTCTCAGAGCAAATGATGGTGTCAAAAACCAGGCAGAGATGGAGGGGGCTACAGAGGGGCTTCGGAGGGGGCTTCTGAGAGGGTTCCAGAAGGGGTTCCAGAGGGGGCTTCAGAGGGGGTTCCAGAGCGGGCTTCAGAGAGGGCATCAGAGAGGGTTCCAGAAGGGGTTCCAGAGGGGGCTTCAGAGGGGTTCCAGAAGGGGTTCCAGAGCAGGCTTCAGAGGGGGTTCCAGAAGGGGTTCCAGAGGGGGCTTCAGAGTCGGCTCCTGGGGGGGTGGGTTCCAGAGGAGGCGTCAGCGGCAGCTCGGTGCCTGATGTTTAACCCTCAAAGTCGATGTTATGGAAACCTCAAGACAAAAACAAACAGAAAATGTAAAATCAGCACAAGTACAATGGGAGTCCGTGGGAAGAGCCGCGCACAGCTCTGCCTGAGCTGTTTGTGAATGTGTGTGCAAGAAGGATCTACCCCCACACACACACACACCCCCCCCGGGACAGTTTCTCAGTTGCTGTGAGCCAAACTACAGCAGTTATTACAGAAGGCTGAAATGGTTTACAGTGAGTACCGAATGGAGCTGCATTTGTGCATTCAGCCAGGTACTGAAATGCTCCAGGAAGTCAGTAAGATACCAGCTTGTAGGAATGTATGAGCACAAGATGAAAACGACCATATGCTGTATTCATTTACTTCGGAGGTCGGAAGTCGGAGCTGGGAATGACGTCACACCTGAGATAACCCTGTTCCAGGACAACAAGTTGGAAAGCCGTTTAGCAATACCAGTTTTAGCCAGGTTCACTGTTAGCAATCCATTGTTAGCAATACCAGTTGATAACGATGGATTACACGGTATTTTGCGCATACAGACACAGTAGCGACATGTCCACAGATAGAAGTTGGACAGTACTGGATGTACAACTGATTTAATGAAACATGAGTGCTAATTAACAGTATATAACTACAGCTGTCACTTCTGTTGATAAAGGGAGCAGCCATCTTGAACTCTGAGATCGGGGTTGTAGAGGTTCCTCTGGCTTTCCAGGTCGGAAGTCTGACTTCAGGGGGTATTCCAGTTGAAATGGAACACAGCATTGTATCGTTCAGGAACGCTTGCTGCTAACCTGTCCTCTGTCTGTTTTCACCCGAACAGCTGAGCTGGTCTTCCTGCTGTGGGGTGTCTATCTCTGCTATGCCGTTCGGACCGTTCCCTCCGCATTCCACGAGCCACGCTACATGGCCGTAGCCATCTACAACGAGCTCACCGTCTCTGGAATATTCCATGTTATCCGGTAAGCCGCTTAAGAATTGCCCTTTTAGTTCCTCGGTAAAGAATGAAAGAAAAACATAAATGACTACAGACCTTTTTAAATTCAGTATGTGTGCTCATTTTCCATATTTTCTATGGTAACAGTAACGATAAATAAGAGTGACAGTAAAGATGGCGGATTGACATGCCCTGAGTGTCAGCCCGTAGAGAGAGACAGGCATTAAATACAGTAAAAGGAAGACTCAACACTATGAGTAGCCACAGAGACTGACCCCATTTTTCTTGAGGACAGGGGGGTGGAGGGAGAGAGAGATAATTTGATTTAATTCTAAGCTTTGGTTAAAAAATAAAACAAAAACTGAAGGCACAACTCTCTTTTGTAAGATATGGGTACCAGCCTCATTGTGCCGACAACCTCTGACCTCTTACTCATGTCTCACCTTTGAACTGTACATCCTGAAGTGAGCTTCTTCATCCTTCAGCCCAAAAGTGACTGTAATGCCATTGCTGTATTGTAAAATTCACAGTGTAAAAACGCCACCCCAACTCATAACATCGTAACAGCATAATTGGTTTCCCTGCTACATCAAACAGCTGTGTAATGAGGCTGCCACAATTTATACTAGAAGAGATCCAAGACGCTTTCACCCTCTGACCGAATCATTCAAATTCAACGGAGAGCAAGTTTCTCAGAGCTGCTTAGAAAGTTCTAAAAGGTGCCATCTGTGAACTTCAAAGCAAAACGGCAGCGTCGCTTCTGGACTGTCCAATCCTATCCCGCATCTCCCACTCGACGCACCATGCCAATGATAAACACTGGCACACTTATAATATATTCCCTGCCATCCGCCCATCTCTCCGCATGGGCCTGCTCACTCTAACACACCTGAGGACAGTGCTGCCACCTCAGTCCCGTAGGCAACTGCTGGTCGAACCCAGAGCAGGAGAAGGATCCAGCCATGTCCTACCAACAGTTTTTGATCTCTGGATCTCATTTCCACATACAGTTGTTGTGGTGTCTTTAAGGGCAGTTTGTTGTTTCTGGGACCTCACTGAAAAAAATCACTTTGGGGCCCTCAGTGTAATGATTGTTTGTGACCAATAGGGGGCCCCTTGCAAATGCATGGTTTGAGTAGTGACAAACACCGCTGCTGGGTCACTGAGTAAAGTACCTTTGTCCTGTTAGTAGTGCCATGTGGTCTAATTACGTACCTTCATGCTTTGCTGTCTTGCACTTGGGCACCGTTTGTTACTAGAACAGCAGGTTGCTTTGATATTAACAGTGCATTTCTTTGCCTCTAATTGCACCCTAACAAACCATCCCAGCTGATAAGAGCTATAATAGAGGAAAGCGTTAACTCACTCCTCTGTGTCCTCGTATACCTTGCATAAGCACTTTCAGACGGGGCTGTTTTCCTGCTGGCCTTATTCATGGAAACGCCGAGTTTAATTGCTTGTAGAAAAACCTTTCATGCTTCACCAGGAAACCCCAAAAAATGTAATTATGAATACTGCTGTGGTCCTTGTCCTATTAAGCTAATGCTACAACTTTAAATGCTTGTGATTTTACAGCAGTGCAGCTCTATACGGGGAACATCCTGAACTTCATATTCTCAGACTTGTTATTTTGAACTCATTTGCATTTTCTCATCCCCTTACTCCGTAAGGGGCTCATTATAGCTAAACGGTTCACATGTGAACCTGATACGGTCCGTCGGTTTGGCGCTGTGCGGTAGTACGCGCACCACGGGTACCGTAAAAAGGGCGTAACTTCATTAAAACCGCAGCGCCGTGCTGACACCGATTCCGAGCCGGCACTCCCAGCCCATCGATGTCCGACCTCAGATGAACCCACTTTGACTAGTGGCTGAAGATGCCAACAGTCTAATCGGGTCTCTGTCTGCAGGTTTATGTTGGCGCCGGGGCTGCACCCAGACTGGATGCTGATGCTTTTCTTCACTCACACACAGCTGACCGTGACCGTGACCCTGGGACTGCTACTTGTACCTAAGGTAACTACATGACAGGTTCAGTACTCAACGGTAGAGCTATCCAACGGCCGGACTGAACAACCCTCCCGATTTGGGCCCTAACAACATTGTTGCTAACAGTAATTTAATTTGACATGATTGGGATATTAAGGAGAGTCTTTAATCTTGGTTTAACAGGATTTTAATCGTGCGGATCGTTCAATCAACGGCTCGATGGAACCTAATTAATTAAGAGCTCCGCTGGACTGAAAACCAGCATGGTTAGTGGGCCGGGGCGGGTTTAAAAAACACCTCTCAGGATTTACAGCCTGACCAAGATGTGTAACTCAATAAGAAGTCTACAGAAGCGGTAGCATGTGAGCCATTGTTTTCTACCCACTCTTTCATTTATGGTGTTCTGTCCACTGCCACCACATCACAATTAATCACCCGGAGAAATGTAATTACTTTGGGAGCCCTGGGCAGACACACTTACCATCGACTTAATGGGGGTAAACGTTGTCTTAAAATAATGGCAGTCGATTAAAACCCTTCGATCCGCCCTTCTAGTTCCTGTTTGCAGGCGCCCACACGAGGGATGACATCGCCACAGAGGCCTACGAGGACGAGCTGGACATGGGCCGGTCCGGGTCCTACCTCAACAGCAGCATCACGTCGGCATGGAGTGAGCACAGCCTGGATCCCGAGGACATCCGGGTATGTGCAGGGTTTGCTTATTTCACTGCACTTCACACGACATCCTGAACTTGAGATGTCCAACCTCTCTAAACCGGAGTGTCACTATGCGGCGGTTTTTATTCTTTGTTCGATATGTATTGCTGTGAATTAGGAGGAGCTGAAGAAGCTATACGCTCAGCTTGAGATCTACAAGAGGAAGAAGATGCTGGCCAACAACCCACATCTGCAGAAGAAGAGGAGCTCCAAGAAGGGATTGGGTCGCTCCCTCATGAGGCGCATCACGGAGATCCCGGAGACCATGAGTCGGCAGTGCAGCCGGGACGAGAAAGACCCGGGGGATCATGGGAGTAACAGGAACAGCCTCTGTACGCTCAGACGAAACCCCTTTGACCCCTCCCACTCCAGCAAGTCCAAGGAAGACTCGCTGAAAAACAAAGTCTTCTCCCTTAAGAAGTCACATAGTTACGACCACGTCCGAGACCAGAATGACGAGCCAAACAGCTCTGCCAATGACCAAATGGAGGTTTCCACCATGGAGAACTCACTGTTGGATACACTGATGGGCAAGACGCTGGGGAAGAAGTCCCCAGAGAAGGCCGAGGGTGAGTCTACAGAATCGGTACCCCTGGTATGTAAATCTGCCAGTGCACATAACCTGACACTGGACAAGAAGCCTGTGCATCTCAGGACATCCATGCTTCAGAAATCCCTGAGTGTCATCACAAGTGCCAAGGAAAAAACTCTCGGGCTCACAGGAAAAACACAGACCACAGAGGATGGCGGGAAGAAAGGCGTAAACAAGAACAAAGACAACAAGGTGTTGTCGGAGATAAATGGATCAGCGGAGTGCTACCCCAAAATGATCATCAGCCAGTCGGTGGAGTACCGTCAGACCGCCAATAAGATCGGCATCATGAAGCACCAGGTTAGTGGGAGCCAGCCGTCCATTTGCTCTGAGTCGGGAAGGTCTAAGGAGCTGTATGACCTTTCCGAAGTCTGCCCTTGGGAAGTGGAGGACCTTCCAACTCCCTCTGAAAACAAAGTACAGAAGCATGTGTCCATTGCTCCAGATGAAACAACTACCATCCATGGGAGTGGAACCAAGGGGAAACTGCATCAAAAGTTGAAAGTTGTGGATCAGTCCCCCTCAAATAGCAAACGTTCCAGCCAGAAGACAACAGAGAAGTCAGCGGCAACCTCCAGGGAGGAGGTTATTGAGAGCCGTGGGCTGAGGAAGGGGATGAAGCCTCTTGCTCCGCTTAGCCTCACTGGGAGTGCCCCTCAAAGTGCAGATGTGTGCCCCTGGGACTTTGAAGAGCCACGGGCTAAAGCTGAGACCGCAAGATCCCCAGATATAATCAGGCGCAAGAAAAGTGTCACCCCAACAGAAGGAAAAGGAAAGACCCTCCATTCAGATCACTCCAAATCCACTGGAAGCCTTTTGCAATCATCCACTATGAGAGCAGACATCTGCCCCTGGGATTTTGACGGTCCTCCATCCCCTGATTCCGAAAAGGCTCCAAGTCCACCTCACGTCTCAAAGGGGAAGGACTCGCATTCGAAAAGAAAAGGGACATCTTCCTCCAAAACTTCAGAGAGGGACAAGGAGAAATCAAAAGACAAGGATGATGAGAAACGCAGGTCCAAGAGCAAGGATAAAGGTTCCTCCAGCAGATCTACAGAGAAACGTCGCATCAGCCAGTCGAAAGTGGGGGGAGGCTGCGTCTCGGATGTGGAATGCACCCGCGACTCACCAGTGTCCGAGAGGCGGAGGAGCTCCACAAATGGGCAGACTTCTGCTAAGAGCAAGAGTGACTTTTGCCCATGGGACTTCGAGGACACATCCTATAATAAAGAAGAGGACCGCAGCCCTTCCACTGGGAAACAAAATACTCTGCACTCTAAACCAGTGGCAGCAGATGGCACCAAGGTGGTCAACGTGTGCCCATGGGACTTTGATGACACAATGTCGGAGAAAAATGCATGACACTCAAAAGGAAGAGACTTCTCTGTATTGAGTTCTCAATGTACTTTTTCTATACACAATACCAAACCCTCTCATTTTTAATGAACTTAAGGTGATGAAAAAAGAGGGGATTTTGCACATGTTGCCTTTTTCCAGTTTTGTCTTTGTTCTTTCCTCAAATTTTTATCAAAGAGAAAGGAGAAAATTGTGTACCAAGATGCATTCCAAATTCGTACTCCGTCTGTGCTGAATTGTAACGATGTATTCTGATAATTATGCAACTCAGTCACTTTATATGCGTGGTAGAAAATCTTGACTCACCTAGTGCACATTGTCAACGTTGGACTCTTCGCGGTGCAGCCATCGCATCTCTTGAGTTAATGAATTGTGGGAAACTCACATTGCAAGCCACATATTGCATCCTTTGGATCAGTTGGACAAGAGATTTTTGGTGCTGCAACCAAGACAGTGATCAAGAGAGATATGACACAAAACCCAGAGTTTTCACCCATCATTGTGCAATTCTGTTTCACAACCAAATGTGTGACAGGAACAACGTGGAACACAAATGCACAATAAACTGGAAGCAACATAAAATTGTATATACTAATACCTCTCATTTGGAAAAATAAATCTGTTGAAGTAACTGTCAAAATATTCAATGGATTGTCTGCAGATGTACGAGATGGCTTGTGGCGGGTTATTGCAGATTACTGTTCCATCACTCCATTCCACTCAAATCTTTCACCATGAGACAAAAAGCTAAGTTTGACTGAAGGCCTCTCAACCAGGCTCTTTGTTCATTGTTTCTTTAAGCATGATGTAGTGGTCTTTTAGGTCATTTGTGTCTGAAGAGCACGTGCGTAGTATGGAGAAGACGCAAGTGTCGTGAATGAATGTTAAGGAAAGATCCTGTCAGATTCGATCCCTGCCGGGGTTGCTGTTGTACCTCCTTCTGGAGTTGCTGACTCTTGGTTCTCTGTGCGCTTATTGGTTGGTTTATTGGTTGCCCAGGTAGAGGGGGGTCCAGGGCCATGGCTTTGACTTTCACCCCACCCCACTTGCATGGATTTTGCATGTTCCCCCCATGTTTCAATCGCTTTATCCTGGCTATTCCATTCTTTTTTCCACTGTCCAAAGATAGGCGGTACAGATGTTCCCAAATGACCCTGTATTGGCCTGAAATCCCATCCATCGTCTACCCTCACCTCTTGCTGTGACCATGCATCAGATAAGCTGTCATGTAAGGTGCTTAAGTATGATCAGGGGCGCCGTGAAGGGGGGGGGGTGATTAGGACGATTCCCTGAGTGACAGGGGCCCTAAAAAATTCAGAAGATAATTGGATTGGTTTGAGGTGGGGGCCCAGTACAAAATGTTTTTATGGGGCCCGGAATCCTTAGCGGCGCCCCTGAGGATGATTAACCCCTCGTGTTCAGAGTGGTTTATCTGCAGTGTAAAAAAGAATATTTCAATGTAACAAAACAACAACAAAAAAAAAGAACTTTCCTTCAAAAAGTATCATAGAACTATTCATGTCCATGGAATGTCGCATTAAAAATATAAGATGAAGCTTTAAAAATATTACATATATTGTTGTAACTAATGTAATATTTCTATTTGAACCAATACTGGTCCTCTAGTTGTGCTTTGATGTTGCTTCGCATTAGAATAAATTCTATGGTCTTTGTTACATTCTTCTGAAAATGAAGCCGGTGCATAACCGTCTGTGCTTGTTTTTTTATTTCACATAAATAATATTGACAGATGATATTTCAAACATGGAACTTCTCCAGGTTTTAATTTGTTTACTAGTTAAGATTTTGCAGGAGAATCAGAACATTTGTTCATTTATTGAAAACACAGAACGGGGATCTCGTACTATACTGGGATGGCTCAGTGGGCACCATCATCACCTCACATCCTCAAGGCTTGAGGTTTTGAATTCTGTCTCTGCTTCGTGGTTGCGTGCAGCTTACATTTTGGGCAGGTTTCCTTCTACAGTCCACAGACATGCACTTAGGCTAACTAGCATCTCTTAGTTGCCTGTCAAGTGTGAGTATATTATATGTTCTTTGTTATGGACTAGCATCCTGTCCAGGGTGATGACCTCACTTTGATAAGCTCCAGCTTATTGGATGGATGGATGGATGGATGGATGGATGGATGGCATACTAGCCTAATTAATTTGCTGGCCTGTGTGCAGACAGATGAACAGATGTGCTGTGTTTTCACTGCCTATTTCCAAGGTTCCGTTTTGAAAGTTAACACAGAGCAGCAGGACATCAAACTTGTCTGGCGAAAGCGATGACCTTCAAGGTCTCACGCCCCCTGCTGTCGCCTGATGCTCCGTAGCTGTATAGCACACGGGCGCTCTGATTTGAAAGCACATCACTGTACGTGACGTTAATGAAAATGGAATTGCGCCGGCTCGAGGGCATGGTGCACCGCGCCTTAACATCGGTGACTCAAACCTGATGTACGTCATCAAGCAGCCAGCACACGTGTTCCATCTTGGGTGGGGGGGGGGGACATCTTTGAATAGCGCCTGTGACACGTGGATGCCAACTTCCACTGTATCTGACTGCTTGGCCACGGATTGCGCTGCCTAGATTCGTTTCGCTCCGTGCGATGCCAGCCTGATTCCAGTCGGCCCCCGGCAACCGTATCCCATGGTTACCTTTGAGAGGGAGACAATCAGTCACCTGCATGCCGCCTCGCAGAGTTTACAACCCTGCATGGCATCACCTCATTCTGACTCACGCTTATCCCCCCAGCGCTGGCAGTATACGGTATGTAGGAGACCAGCATATCGGGAGTGTCACATGCCGAGACCCTCTGCCGTGATTGGCTGTAGACAGCCAATGGGAATCGAAATGCATGAAAAACCCACAGAGGGCAGGAACTGACCACGGGAGCTGGTCGTACGCTTCAAGCAGATCTCGGATGGTTTGGGGTCAACCTGATGCCACTGCTCATCACATAGGATGACGCTTTTATGACGCTTTGAATATGCAGGTAAAGCTTAGGGTTGATTTTACAGTCTGCGCATGTCCCTAAAACACTAGCACTATTGAAACCCAGAAACAAACATGGATTGCACTGGTAGAGCTATAAGCAGATACAGCCTGACTAGGGCCCACAAAGTCGGGTTGAGGGGGGGACACTGAGGCCCAATGAGCCCTTCACATGGAGGATCGGGAGGCTATTGATCTAATCGTTTAACTTATATAAGCATATTACTTGGCATTACGAAATGCTGGAAACGAAATTATATATACCATTTACCTGTTTGGCAAATCTGTTTCGCTCACAGTGTCCAGTTTGTTAATTTCCCTTTTGTCTGATAAGGCTCTAAAGGTCATTTTGCATAGCTCAAGATTATTTCACAAAGATACATCTGAAATGGCACATCTGTAAGATTTAACCATTAACGGTCAGAGGCCTTGTTTGCGTGCATGGACATGTGTCCAGAACTGAGAAGCCCCCAACCCCCCCCCCAAAAAGTCTTGCACTGGGGCCCATTATAAGAAGCTTATGCCACTGCTGGATTGGGCCACATTTTAAGATCTATTTTTAACCCCCAAAAAACCATTTGAACTGACACAAAGATGCAATCTCTGGTCTCTCACCGACTGTTAACTCGCAGAGCTGGCGTGGTTTCCGTGTTTCTTTGCGCTCTCCTTTTTGGACTCTGCTGCGGCGATTTTCCGCTTTTATTTCCAATTTTCAGCTCCCACTGTGCCCATCGACATGGGCGATGTCACACAATGTTTGTAGCGGTTTCCGTTACCTTCTGCATGGCAACAACTAGTAGGACTAATGTATCACTGCCCTTCTGGAACTTTGGTATTTGGACTGTTATAAATTGTATAGTGAAACTGTACCTTAATGACGGTATCTGATGCTTGTTATGATAATACTCTATGACGGGCTACTGCATCCACATGGAATTATTTGGTAGAATTGTGTTATATTGTGATAGCATGCAAATTTAACACCTTCCATGCAATAAATATTTCTATAAAACTGAGCAACCAGATCCATTGAGCCATTTTCTTCCTCGTGTAATTAATTCCCTTTTCATTCTTTTCGAATCCACCTACAGAGTGTTGTTATATCTGAGGAAAGAAATTCCCCACAGTTAGCCGATAGCAGATATCTGACATGTATTTCAACAAATTGAATCTCTGGTGGTTGAATCTTGAATCAGAACTCGAGATGACTGAGAAGGGACAGCTGGAGAAACAAGCAGTTTTAGGTCACAGATTGCATGGATTATGTGGCGGATGTAAATATTACTGCTCCAGGAATCACAATAAGGATGATGCAACTTTAAGGTACATTCAAGCTCCTGAGAAACTTACTGTCAAGTTTTTTTGTGGTCAGCTATAAATAGTATGAATGCTTTAAAAGCATTTAAAACTTCCATTTTGACACATACTGGCTCACTTACATTCATTAATTTGTTTCCACTGACGACATGAAATCTAATTTGTTCTGATTCAAAAAAAGCTGCAAGTCTTTTGTCAAGTAAATTGAAAAATATTACTGGAGCATTTAACATTTGTTTTGCATAATACTTTGACCTGTAGGCAGGAACTAAGGCCAGCCTCTCGTACAAATAAATTCAGTCCAGACTCTCAGTCACCCACAGAGATCTATCAAAACTCCATCTGGGACCTGAGTCATTAAAACAAAACAGCAAATATCCTTGAGAGGAGGAAAGTGTCAAAGAGAAGGGAGATTGAGAGAAAGCGTTGAATTAACTTTCAACCCTTGACTTTCAACTACAGGGGCTGAGGTCATGCAAAGCTATATGACAGGGAAATAGGTGGATAGTTCAGGTCCAGAAAGTAAAAATCCAGACCAAGATGTTGTTTCAACCAAACAGTTGAGTACTCTGTGACTGTGACTCTTTATAGTCAAGTGGTACGTACGTCGGGGCACGAACCGGGGACGCAGGAGCTGGAGTTGGTAAATCGGGTAAATACGGGGTTTAATGAGGAAACAGCAAGGTACAAACAGGTAGCAACGTCACGAAACGTCAATGACCGGACTGTGGTAAGACAGACTCGGAAGCATTAAATACACAAAACTGATTAACAACAACTAGACACAGCTGAAAACACCGGGATTCCACATGAGGTAACAAGGGGGCGTGGCACACAGGAGGATCGGACGAGCAGGTCACGACATTCAAGTGGTTGATTGGGACAAAATCTTGGTCTGGATTTTTACTTTCTGGACCTGAACTATAAACCTCCATACTGGAGAACATCAAGAAGGAAATATCTAAGGCTTTGATGGCAAGATATGGTTCAAAGATCATGTAGTGTGTTAGGACCGACATTGCAGAATCTGTTTGAGTGTCTTTGACCAAAGACTTCTTTATTGATACACAGTCGGGTAATTCAGTAGAGTTGGATGTCTCGAGACCGATGTTGGTCTCAAGACCGGTCTTGAGACCACTTTTACGTGGCCTTGGTCTTCTCACAGTCTCGACGGTCTTTGGTCTTGGTCTTGTCTTGGTCTCATATCCCTCGGTCTTGTCTTGGTCTCGCTGTCTTGGTCTTGCTGTCTCAGATCAACATAGTGGTCAGGAGATTTGGAGCGAAAAGTATCCATGACACACAACGTAATGTTCGATAATGCAACATTATTATTATTTCGCCTTTTGTGCCCTTCAAATGCAACAAATCAATGACATACATGCATTTTGTTGTGATTCAGACATTGGCGCTCATCCAATCAAAATACGCGTTATACGCACAAAATAAATGTAGCGCTAGTTAAACGTTAGTTAAATGTGTAATGACATGCCACTGCAGACATCAAGATGTCAGAATCTTTTAAGCACTTGTCCTTATTCTTATTAATGCACAATTTGATGTGCAGTTTGTATTGGTATATAGTACAGTGGTACCTCGGTTCTCAAACTCATTAGAACTCTAATTTCTTAAAAGTCGAACCAACCAGTTCGGAAAAAAAATTACCTAGAACTCGATCTGGAACGGAGACAAAGGCGCAGACGTCAGGGTATCGGGGAATACGGGGTTTAATTACAGGTAAGGCAGGCAAAACGCAGATGGACAATACAATGACCGGACTGGGGAAACAAACTGAAACGTGGACTAAATACAGAGGACTAATGACAACAACCAAAAACAGCTGATCACGCGGGGATCCCACAAGGGGTTAACAAGGGGCTGTGGCACACGGAAGGAGCGTTTTTTTTTTTTTAACTTAACACATTGTTTGGATACATTTATTTTCTTACTTTACAAATTACCGTTTTGATAAATGTGCTTAGATGTGTTTAGTACAGTATATGCTCTTCTTGTTTTATCCAGTTATCCTTGGTCTTGTCTTGGTCTCGATACCCTCTGGTCTTGGTAGTGTCTTGGTCTTGGTTTAGGTGGTCTTGACTACAAGTCTAGGCTAACCCCAGGAAATACACATGTATCCAGTCTGCAAATTAAACCATCCCGCCTACCAAGAAGCCATTACTCATGACCTTTTCCCTCTCCTACCCACCAGCCATTTACATAGCCCCGATATTCACTGAGACTAATGGTGCTCTGTTGGGTTTCATTAAGAGAGTTACCCGTAAGCTCAGGCCTGGTTATCTCTTGCCACAGCACCATGCTTAACCCGTATTCTGCCTAATAGTAACAACATATAATAAAAACCGTATTTTCACTAGATGGCCACATAAACGTTAGGTCTGTTACTGTCTGGGGAGCGATTATTACAGTAAGCGCAAACCCACTGCCGCTTTGGTTTATTGAAAAGGATGTGGATGATAATGTGCGGTGAAACGGCTGGGTTGCCAATGCTGCCACCCTGTGGCCACAAGGCAAAAACACAAGGAAAATGTAAAGGCATCGGGTGGTGGAACATGATTGCGTGGGATGGAACTTCCATGATAACACCCACAGAAAAGATGTCCCTAAAGAATAGGGTGAAAATGTAGATGGTGTTATGGCGTATATCGCTTTTTTTCTGCTTTACCTCCGGGATTTTTTTTCTGTATCCTGCTTTCCTGTTTTTTTTTCTTGCAGGAAAATTCCCAGGGCTATGCATACCGCGTATGTTTTACAGTACAAATACTGAAACTTAACTTTGATACGGTCCCATTCTGGTTGCAAAGACGGTCCTTTTTTGTACTCATACAAGACTGTAATTTACTGCGGTTTGAGTAGCCAGACCTCCTTACGGCAGAGCCAGTCTTAAATAATTCAGCGTGCTTTTGGTCTGAATGCGGAAACGCTGTTAAAAGGTCAGGTTTACCCCTACAGCTTAATGTATTTTTATATATCCGTGGAAATGTAGCTCTCAAAATGCGTACACGAGAATACGATTACTATCAAAGCATGTAAAATAAAGGAATGATTGTATAATAATCATAATTGTAAAATAATCTCAATGACGATGGTGGGTATAGGCTACTTCTGGAGGCTTGCATGTTGCCTGGGTTTTCCAAAGACGCGTTTTTTTGCGTGACTAGATGAGCGTGTCTGTGTACCACGGATTTCTTCTTCTTTTTATTTTTTTTGCTGAATCCATAAATAACTCATGCATCATGTTGGTACAGCGAGTTTACAGTCTCGGTGATTATCCTGTATCCAGAAGCTGGCAAAGCGACACCGGCATTATATTACAGCCGGTCGAGCTGAGAGTGTCCGTATCCAGATGTAAACGGTCCATTCATAAAATAAGGGACGGACTCTGCCTGTGTCCCCCCAGCAGGGGAGTGATTGCCAAGTGGAAATAAGTGAAATGCAGGAGAGTCGGCTGCGACTGTATTATAAGCCATGTTTAATTTCCAGGCATCAAAATGAAGGTGGTCATCAACATCTGGCCCGCGGTGCAAACCACATTAAGGGAAGGTGATTTATCCTCTGCTTGTTCAATTAATCCCAACATGTATGTTTCACAAAACACACCGAGGTGCTTATGTAAAGAATTAATTTATTAAATGGCCCATGGTACCGGCTGCTAAGAGCAGATGCTGGATTTATAGACCTAGATAACGGGGGACATGATGGAGATGCTCTCCGGGAGCCGCCCAGCGGCCACGTTGACGTAAGCGGTCCGGAGCTGGGCTGGGCGGGGCGGCTCGGGCTGGTGTCCCGGGCCAGTGCTGAAGGGAGCAGCGAAACCAAGCCGCAGTCTGTCCGACAGCACGCCAACATGGGCAACGTCCAGGTGAGTACTGATCCCTCCCCTGGGGGTGGTTTCCCCAAATCTGCCGGTTATTTATATCCGACATTTGTGTGAGCGAACTTACAATGAGATAAACGTTACAATGAGAAATGCGCAGTCATCTGTACCGACGACATCGGCCGCCCCGGTTAGTGTACGGCGCCACCTTGAAATAGCCTACGTCATGCTATTTTAAAGTGAAATTAAGAAGCGGATAGATTGCCGAAGTAATAGGCTACATTTTCTTTCTCAAAAGTTTTCTGCGTGACAGTACAAAAACTGACTTATATAGGCTAGCATAATATAATTCATGACCCTCCAATACTTGCAGTCACCTTGTTTTTTATATATTATTATTACTATTATTATTGTTGTTGTTATTGTTATCATTATTTATTAGTCATTATTTAAAGAATAGTAGTTTGCATTATGCAATGCGTGGGAGGAAAGCGGCCCCACCCGTAGGGAACTTGCCGGAATCCAGCCGAATCAATAGCGCCGCATTGTGGCGCACGGCGGCCGGCGCGTGCGGGCGGGGCGGAGGCGGCGGCGCACAGAGCGTCCATTCTGCATCTCGGCTCTAAATAAAACTGCAGTGCGGGGAGTCGGCATTTCCGCCCTTTTAAATACCAGCGTGCACTAAAAATTTCTAATATTTACATTTTATAGACTATGCATATTTCACCAAAGCCCCTTCCTTTCTCTCAACATTCTAGCCAACAGTAGTACCATATCCCGATTTCGACGTGGTCGCGGATATTAAAGCGATACGCAAAGCCTGCAAGGGTCTGGGTAAGTCTGACGCTCAGGGTCCTGTGGGGCGGG